CTTATTCAGCGTCTAATAAAAACTGATAATCACAATCCTCAAATTCATGTGAATCATTTTTATATATTCGTTCATATGCTTGACGGAATCCTTTTCATACGTGCAATCAAATTATTTTCTGTGGTGTTTTATCAGTGTTTGCACTGACTGTTATCCTATTGTTCTCTGATTCTTGAGGGAGATTAGAAATGATTTTCACTTTATTTATTCGAAAGAATTATCGACTAATAAATAAAATGTTCCATTTCAGAATAGAGCAGATGAAACGGAACATTTTGCAATTATACAGCACATATAACACAATGTAGTTGATAGCAATTTATGACATAGAAAGAAGCAAGGGCAGCGATATGAGCAATGATCTCTGTCATCTTCAACGTTGCTAAGACGGACTGCGCAGAAATTAGTCACTTGTCGTCGTTCAGCGTTCAAGTAGGCATGCAAGGGACACAACAGTTGCGCAATGCAACTTTGTGCTGCCGAAGACGGCTCACTGCACTTACTTCCTTGATCCGTTAGCAAAAACTGTTTGATTAAAAAACTGTTTAGGATTACATGACAATTATACATTAATTACTCCTAATTTATAAACCTAATTTCAGATCTTCGCCCTGGTTGCTGCGCATGAATGAAAATGATAGGATATTATACGAACAGTCCAATCCGCAGATATAGCGACATCCAACTGATGGTTTACATAGTTACTAATGCCCCAGCTTCAAAGGAATGCTGAGTGACTGCTGCTACAATGCTGTAACATATTTGTAACCGATTACCGACGTTGGCGGCATAAAAGAATGGTAACCCATAGAGATATCCTTGCAATACGAACATGTCGTGTATACAGAACTTGGCAGCTGAAATGATTGTCAGGATGTATCCATCCTATTAATTAGGGGCATTTCGTCATCCTGTATTAGCGATAGCTTTGTTTGGTAGGTCACCGTCTTGTCAACGGCTGCTCCTACAATACGCTGAAGTATTTTGCTTCCGTTATAGATCCCTAAAGATTAACATTAGATAGATTTGCCTTTTATCGTTCGTCCAGATTGGAGGAGTTTGTTTTGCTAATTTTACTAGACCTATTTGCGAATGGCAAAGCAGATAGACGAAGACAAGAAACAGCTGATACTCGTCACTAAAGAGGATGAATGGGACAAAGCCGAAAAAAGGCTGAAAGAGTGTATGGACGAGGCGGTGAAAGTGGTTGGCCTCGACTGCGAGTTCATGGTGAAACGAAACACGTCGATGCCCTCAACGTATGACTGTCAGGCGGAGGAGAATGCGGTTCGTGCAAAGGCCGGCCAAGTGGTGCTTCTACAGCTTTCGTCATGTGGCAGAGGCGTGGTTACGGTTCTTGTCCGTCTATGCTACCTCAACAGGATACCAGGCGGTCTGGCGGAGTTTCTGACGGCCGATGACATCTTCAAGGTCGGCGTAAACATCGATGAGGACTGCCGTCGTCTGCACCGGGTACATACGCATTATTTCTTATTTCGGCTTTGCGTCCTACCATGGCTTTTTTTTTGTTTTACGTTTTGTGCTAATTATCACACTGGATAGTCAGCCGCAGAATTGGGGCCCTAAGGCGCTCATATCAGACACCAGTGCCATGCCCCTCCATCATTTTAGAAAGATCAGATCAAAACACAGTGCCGTCCATGTTATTCGTAAGGCAACGGCGTGTTGCCAGATGCTTGATTTATGGCGTCGAATCAACGTGGAGTTCATTCCTTGATCAGAGGGATTCG